TCCAGGAGTGTTTTGAACGTCTCCAGAAAAGGAGACTCCACAACCTCTCTGGGCAGCCTGTTCCAGTGCTCTGTCACCCTCACAGTGAAAAAGCTTTTCTAATATTTTTGTGGAACCTCCTGTGTTCCAGCTTGTATCTATTGCCTCTTGTCCTGTCATTGGACACCGCTGAAAAGAGCCTGGCACCATCCTCCTGACACATATTTATAAACATTTATGAGGTCACGCCTCAGCCTCCTCTTCTCCAAGCTAAAGAGACCCAGCTCCCTCAGCCTTTCCTCATAAGGGAGATGTTCCACTCCTTTAATCATCTCTGTGGCTCTGCGCTGGACTCTCTCAAGCAGTTCCCTGTCCCTCTTGAGCTGAGGGGCCCAGAACTGGACACAATATTCCAGATGTGGCCTCACCAGGGCAGAGTAGAGGGGGAGACACAGAGTTTAAATTAAAATACTACATCTGTCTTCCTGTGTTGAAAATGTACCTCTTTGCATACTGTGAATTAATTTTGAAGCAATTATTTGATGTTAGGGTGGTTTAGGTCTGGATGTGCTCCTAAAAATTCTGCCAGATTTAGCTGTTGAGAGAAGTGTTTGCATTTTGAATTTCAGAGAAATGAGATTCTCTCCTTGTATTGTGTCCTTCTGACTTTCTAACTTTTTTTCAAACTCACCTACCTGAGCATACAGCCTTTTACCTTCAATGAGTTTTCTATTTTATTGCCTTAAATTCAGGTTATCCAAACTTCTTTTTAGTAAATATGAATCCCAAATCTCATATACATTGCTCCTGGAATAATTACAGAAATTCATGTAAATATTGTTTTAAATAATAGTGAGGATACTGCTCTTGCAGATGTCAATAATATTCATGGTGAAAGGCAGTAGACTTAGTGGCAGAGATTATTATTTTTGCATTAACACCCACTCACAATATCAAAGGTTCACAACTGATATTCTATATGTATAATGAATAAAATTAAGAAAGTGGTGAGTGTACTTGGCCTTGTGAACTGGCACGAGAATATTGCCCTTATCAAGGTGTTTGTTTGTTTCCCCTAGGAAGCAGATACTTATAGCATGGGCACTGGACTGGGCACAGTCTCTAATGCTTCGCTTTTTTCCATTACACATTTTCTTCAAGGCTCTTAGTTGTTCTGGTTTTATATACCTTTTACTAAAATCAGTCAGGTCCATGCACATTCACTTCGTGAAAGAAGAGTGAAAATAACTTGAATAGAAAATTTCTAAAGGCTTTTCTTGCGCAAAGGTCATTAGAAAATTAGAGCTATGCTACCGTTCATGGCCTTAATAATATTCCCTAGGAGTCATTGGAAACAGAAACCGGGAAGAATAGAGTTGTCCAGTTTCTGCATCTCCAGCACTCTTTCTATTTCTCATGTATGCCAGGCATGACATTTCCAGCCAAAGGAGATATTGGAGGAGTTTTTATCTGCTTCTCCTTTGGTTTAGTTTTGGTACAAATTATTCTTTTTGGTGAAATTTCACATTGACTTTTTGCCTGTATCCCACATTCACAGTTGCAGAAATCAGAATGTTTATTTTCCCTAACACAGCTGTACACTTGGCATGTACTTGAGTGGGGAAGTTTCAGGACTTGGACTTTGTGTTTGGCAGGGCCGTTGTAGGATACTGAACTGCAGAGAAAGGGAAACTAAGGCTCAGATGGAGCATGCTGAGCACCTCTCCCAAATCTCTGAAGAATGGGATTTGGTAGTGAGCCTCGGGAGGTCTGTCCACATGAAGCAGATCTGCACCTGAGCATCATGACTGAGTTCCATGAGACTCAGTCTGATTTGTAGCGTGGAACAATGACTGAATTTCAGAGAAACCACACACAAAAAAAGAAAAAGACATACACAGAAACCATGAATTCCATGGCTAGATTTCCACAACTGGATAAAGTCTGCATTAGATTAGTACAGCTCACCACTATATAAGGGATGAAGCTCTGGTCTGTGGCTTTGGAGGTTTTTTTATTCAAAGCAGAGTTTGGAGAAACTATATTCCATTCAGTATTTCTTGACTTCTGGAGTACAGTAGTTGATTTTTGTCTACCATGGAAACTTCTGCTTTTGCTTTGTCAATGTGCCTTTCCTTGCTATCCTTTGTCTGAGAACAGCTTGCAAAAAGGTCTTCAAGCTGCAGGTATACACTACGCTATAGAATATGCTTTGGGTCTCGATATCTGAACACCCACATTTCTTGTGAATTCTTGTGAATTGGGGTACACCATATTCATCAGACAGCACAGTTTCCCCTATTACATCATATTCTGTGACTCTTTGAAAGCTATTTATTTTCTCACCCTTTGTAGGCAAGGCACTGATTCAAACCTAAAAATTCTTCTGTTTACACCTCTGTTTGCTGGAGGAGAAAGAGCTTCACAATCAGGGTGTGAAGCAACTGGTGGAGGATGACATTCATACATACATTTTATAGATAATGAAACACATCAAGATATGAAAATGCCCCTATTTGGTAGAAATCTAGTTTTGGATTTTAAATATTTTTTCAGGATTTGTTGTTTTCTGACCTTTTCCATAGTTGATGTGGTACTGTTGGATTCACTGCGTGGTTACAGCCAGTTCTGAGAACTTCTGCTTACTTGCTAGGCACTGGGAAAACACTTTACTTGAACTAGAGTGCAAGTCAATGTCCCCAACTATGTTAAATTGTGAACTTGACTAGCTAGTTGTCCTGATTTGAGAGCAGCAGGATGAAAGTTCTATGGGGCTGCCCAGCCCAGGTGGCAATCACAGTGGTGGAGGAGGGGCAGTTGTGCCTACGGGGAGGTGGGGATGGGTCAGGTAACCCAAATGGACCAATCATGGCGTTCCTTCCCATGTTCTCAGTATATAAGGGCCCCTAAGATGCGTCAGGGCTGTGCCTCTGTTACTCAGGGTAGGTGCATAGTGTAGGCGGGGTATAACGGCATGTTCCTTTGAAGGGTGCTCCTCTGCAATGTGGAAGCAGGAAGCAGAAACACCAACAACACTGAGAAAGATGACAGCCAGGAGCAAACTTCCCAACACAACAGACACAAAGAGCCTGAAGTCGGATTATTTACATATAGATGGTCAGAACAGAGAAATTGAGTCCCATAAAGACAAAATTATTACAGAATAAAACACTGTAGATTCTGTATATTTAAGAAAGGATTGCACATCGTCCCTTTGATCATTAAGCACACTCCCACAGCCTCAGATTTTAGGCCTGAAGTCTGTAGCTCAGAAGCGGTTTGGTTTTTTTTAAATAAAAATCATTGACCTTTCAGTTACTGTTAGAAAGAACTGGAGGGTAGAAGAAAAATACTGTCAGCTCTAAGAGCACGTCTCTAAGAGCAACTTTTATCTTTGGAAGAAAATGCTAAAGTGAAAGAAGCTGTTTTTCTACAGTTTATTGTGTATTAGTTTCTGGAAACAAAGAAAAAAATATTTTAAGCAGAAATGAAGGTCCCAGGTGTTATATTTGGTTTGTTGGGAATTTTTTGGTTTGCTTTGTTTTTTATTTTTTTGCCTACCTAGATATCAAGACTGACAAATTAGTAAAGGTATGGTCATAAAGACACTGTAGCCTGTTGTATTTCTTCAATTCTGGTTTTAGCCTGTCTGGGATTTTGCATACAAACCTGCTGTTCATGTTCCCCATATGTATTCTTCTAGAAAGTGGTGGTGAGAGTGAAGAATGGGGTCTCTCTGAACAGTTTCCATTGCCTGACCTGACAAAAAGTGAACAAGTCAGCTGCACTTATATGTTCGGTTAGATGAAAGGGAACTTTGACATTAGAAATATCAACTTGGGTAGGTGGAAGGATTTGCTATATTTTATGGGTTGTTTTTTTTTTGGCTGAAGTCTTTCATCAAGCCTTTGCCACTGAACATGTGGAGGTGTTATTTGCTGCTCTCCTTTGTAGAACAGAATGAACGAGTACCTACATCTAGTGGATGTTTTCTGGGGACTTTCTTCTTAGAAAAATGTATTAAAGCTCTCCCACATAAGGAGAGTTTTTCGAACTATCCGAAGGGGGGGAATTCCATCTTTAACTGGTAAGGCTCTTAAACAATATAGCAGAAGACTTTGGTGAAGTTTTTTTCAAATAGAAAGTGAGCCATGATTCCACAAGGATGTTTGTGACTTGAGTCTCTGATTTCTGGTCTTTAGGATGTCAAACTGCAATATTTTGTAAATATGTTAAGCGGAGTTTTTTCACTTCTTGTGCAGACTAAAGTTTAGTATTTCTGTAATAGATTGTTTTACATGAAATTTGAATTAACCTATAATCTGGCAGGCAAGTTTATCAAAGGTACAGAAGACAGCTTTGGGCCTTATCAACGTTGCAAAGACCAATTATTACTGCTTAGATATAAATAAGTGTTTATGTACTTTTGGGGGGTAATTTGATACAAGTTTAAGCTCTGTATTTCATTGTTGATTCAAGGAAAGATTCTGTTTGCTAAAGAAAACATTTTTTTTTTAGTATTACTAATACTTCTCCAGAATGAAGGGACCTCCAAGAAAAGTAGAAAAATGGATGTGTCTCTTAAATAAAAATATTTAATTAAATTAAGAGGGGATAAATATTCAACTGTATACAGATATTTCTTTATTTACTATGTTAGATTTTAACATATAAAATTATCTCACTTTATAACTCATACATAAAATGTGAATAATTCAGCATAAAATTTTTCATTTCCATTAATCTTTCATTGCTTTCAGTACAATTTCTGTAGTAAAATACTCTTGATTTTACTGTACAACTTACAGTTGGGTAGATAATCATAGAATCCTAGAATCATAGAACGGCCTAGGCTGGAAGGGACCTTAGAGATCATTTAATCCAACCTCCCTGTCATGGGCAGGGACGCCTCTCAACTAGATCAGGCAACACATGGGGACCAAACGGGGATCGAACCCATGACCTTGGTGTTATAAGCAGCACGCTCTAACCGACTGAGCTAACCAGCCCCCACTGAATAGTTTTTTAGCATTTCATATTATTTGTTGTATCTCAGTAATCAATTTCATTATTAATAGAAATATTTCCCAAATTAATGAGATTTTAAAAAAAATGCATCTTGCTTTGTGTAGCACTAAGTTCAATTGTCTTTAAAGATCCTTATAGAGTATGACAGTATTTGCTTCTGTCAAACCTTAGATGAGATTACCAACTGGCAAACGAGGCAGACACATGTATGCATAAGGTGTTTTGCTCAGGTTGATGGGATTACCATCCAGTCTGATGTCTTCAAGAGCCCTACGTACATAAGTAAAATCTTTCGTTTTGCAGAAAGTGTCTTCATGCATCTCTTGAATGTTGTTGTTCTAAAAAAAAACCAAAAAACAAACCCCACAAACACCATTATCACAATAGTTTCCTGAAAGTATTTTTCTGCTCTTTCAAGAACAATTTATGCATGTATTTTCAGTGCATAGAGAGATACTGGTTTGAACCTAAGGCACCAGGTTGGGGCTGCAAGTCATCAACAGAGAAATCTTCCAAGAAGGGGGAAAATTTCTTGGCCAGTACAAAGCTTTGGAACTAAGTAACTCAAGCCATGTAGCAGAGGTAGGCTTTGCAGAAGGGGCCTGTAGAAGTTTAGAGCATTTTTGTTTCTGGGTTCGTATTGAAGAGCCTTATTAATGCAAATTGGAACCAGCATAGGCCAGTCCAAAAATTATAGAACCATAATTATTATCCTCACAGCTTGCATCAACCAGCAAAAGCACAAATCTGCAATTTGATCTGTGACAAATTTCTTTCCGCAGGCCCTCTCACATTAGCTTAACCCACATCTGTATATATACAGGGAAAATAAAATGCTTTAGGCTTTTTTCCTTTGATTTAGATTTCTTTTATATACCTTATCTTCATTGAGCTTTTCTTCCTGAAGTGAACCATTTTCAGCAATTAATTGCTAGAATAATATACTGTCTAGAAATTGAAACTAAAATGTTCGTCACCTGAAATGAGGGCTGTCTGATAATTCTTCCCTTCTCCATTCCTTTGCTAGTCAGAAATTGGTGTGGAAAACGTCCAGCTCACTAGCTTTGATTTATAGCACCTATCACTGTGTATTTAATTTGCAGGCATGGGCTGGTGAAAAATTAGCTAGCAGGCAAAGTATTTCTACAGATTTGTATGCTATAGATTGGATGATAGATTCCAGATTATTTATTTATGGTATGGTACATCAGGTTATCTATTCAAAGGTGGTTTTCTGTATTATGAAATAAATAAAAACATCTGATAATAAAAAATGTTCTAACATAGTCAAAGGGAAAAGTTTGGCTGAAAAAATGTTAGCAACTGGGAATTAATACTCTTAAGAGAATGAAATACATGAGTATAAATACAGCCAACATGTAAAGCAACTTTGGGTATCTAAAAGCGTTCTTGTTGGAAGGTTCGTGTGAGCAGTGTGAGGGATTCCTATCTTTGAAGTCTCTTAGACTAACATTGCTCTTGACAGCTGTGAACCTAATTTTAATCATATTATACTAACAATAAATCTAGAATTTTGTTTGAAAAATATTGTATTACAAATTCTAATAATTAATGCTTAGCTGAGCTAGATTTTACTTCTTTCAAATCCTACATTTTCAAGTTTGCTTCCAATAATTGTTCAGCCAAGTAAGTACACTTTGGCCTAAACAGAAAAAATAAGACAATAGTTGCCCTTTCTAGTTTTACTTATTTGAATGTGATACATAGAGCCATTACTTTTGTAGCCTACCTGAAGATGAAGAGCTTGGAGGCTTTCAGGGAGTGGCAATGGAATGTGATCCAGGTTATTGTCAGTGATGTAAAGATGCTGCAGTTCATGCAGGTCCTAGAGGATGAAGGAAAAAAGACAAGGGAAAATGATAGACATATCTGAAAAGTTCTAGCAGAAAGCAACACTGAATGCTAACACATTCTGTTTCAGCATCATGGGATTGAAAAGATAGAAATTCGAAGTCGTGAACTTTAATTTGCACAGGATGAGAACTGTTGCTCTTAAAGTTTATGTCTTTGGATTAAAATGAAGGAAAATAATATCTTTAAAATGTCTACAGATTTAATAATTAGAGATGTAATTTCAGTGTTGCTGTTCTAAAGTGAAAAAAACTGACTCTCCCAGTCATTATGCGGAAAGGCGTCTTATTCTGTCTCTTTTCTTTTGTGATAAGCTTACTGAAATTTGCATAAGGGTGTAAGTGTTGAAACAAACTGAAACTACATAAGAAATGCCTGAGCTAAAAAATAATTTCTCATTCTGTTTGAAAAGGTAAATAATTTTCTCCCTTGACTTAGTGGAAGAAGGAGCTTCTTTTGGTAATTATAACAAAAGTAAGATACAAACTTGCTTAGGCTCAGTAGAATACTCTCATTTCACTCACTTTTTACACAAACAAGTTATCATAGCACCTAACTAATTCTCTGAGGGCAATGTCCTAGTTTAATTCCTACTGACAGAACTCAGATACCAGGTTCTTGGCAAATATGGAAGATAAAGTCTAAGACTTTCATGGCTAAAATCAGGAGAGTACTGAAGAAAATGGTACTAGGCCAATTTCAGTTTGGGGGACTGAATTTTGCCCATCATTCCTATTCCAGCACCTACCTTATGCTGGGCTAGGAAAAGATGTCAGTAACTGCTGTTGGTTGCTTCATCAAGAACCTGTCTTCCAAAGGGGGAATTCAGAGATGGCTGGTTACAACTGCCTCCTTAGAATAGTGCATATTATCCAGGTCTAACATAGGACACTATCTTATATTCTATAATGACATCAGATTTCAAATGCATTTAGGAGCAGTACATGGCTATTTCTCCCCACCAAAATTGTTGAGGAAGAATGATCCCTCAGAAGTTCCAATTTCCTTGCTTTTCAAGGTGGAAAGTAAGTATATATATTTAATGAATACTCTAACAAATTTCCATGTAGACACACAGCAGAGTAAGTTTGAAGCAGTGGCATCTGTAGCTTTGCCTTGCCTCCTCTTGCCTACTTGTAGGAGAACATCAAGCAGCTTTCTGGAGTCTTGCTAGTCATGTGGGTAGTTGGTTCATAGATATAAACAGTGTGCCATCATGTGTCTTGTGTGGGTCTTTGTAAAGATGAATAGAGTTCTCATGTCCAGCTGATAGTGCCCATACATCTTGCTACATCTTTACAGATTACCCAGCAGCTCCCATAATCATTGTGCCTTAAAGGATTTTCTGCTGTCAAGAGACACTTAGGCTGCTCCTCTGCCAAAATCCTTTGGAGAGAGGAAGAAAAGATTTTCCCATCGAACCCAGACTTACTTTAAATGCCTCATTACGTATTCCTTTGTGACCAAGCCTGTTCTTACTAACATCGACGAATGTTAAAGTAGATGGTAGCTCAGGGAGTTGCCTTATCCTATTGTCACAGAGCACCAGCTCCTCGAGTTGGGGCAATCTCCGAAAGGCATCTTCGTGGATCTCTGATATCAAGTTTGCAGTCAAATCAATCCTCTTTAAATTGTCTGGTAGAGAAATAAGATATATCAGCCATGTAAGAATGTATTTCCTGAAAGTTTTTAACAAGAAAAGGCAAATGGGTTATTTAAAGTATGGGTGAAATGTCTTGAATAAGATCCATCTGAACCACTATGTGACAGCTCGCTCTCTGTATATAATGCAGTAATCTATATTTGAACAGTTTTAAGGAAGGGGACCAACGTCTCTTTCTCTTTGTGTTTAGAATTTCCGGTGTCATTTTTGATACATCTTTCACTGAAAGATTTTAATGTTGATAGTTTTAAAATTTCAGTGTATTCTGAGAATTATTTAAATGGCTATTATTTGGATAAATAACACTTAAAGGGAAATAAACACATTCTCTGCCACCTTATTCCATATATTTCTTTGTTTTCAACATTTTCCTGCATGCAAGAAATTTGATATATTGACATTTTTTCTAAAATATACTCAAACACTTTTTTCAAGTTAAAAAAAAAAAAACAAGAAAAATATTTTTTGGCAAAAGAGAAAAATGTCTAAATATCAGTGCATTGATAGGCATTAATTTTAGATACATTATTCTGTAGTTTACTTATAATTTTTGCACAGAATATTTTTCACTGGTATTTTATTTTATTATTTTATTCTTCTATTTTTATGCTAACAGTTTATTTTGGCTTAAGTAAATTTTCTTTCTTCTTAGTATTTAATCTCCTTGCAGTTTGTGCTGTTTTTTAATATGTCAGCTGTATTCCCTCGCAAACTTCATCTTGGTTTGAGCCTCCTAAACCCTTATACTTTTCTTTCATAAAAGGATCTTTGCATTGCCTTGAATTATTGTAGTAGCCTTTTCTGGCACTGATTCCACACTTCTCATCATGAAATAAGTAAACATTAGTTACACAAAGTTAGGTCTACAGGAAAAACCAAAGGATGTGTTCTTGATATTCAAGCTGGTATGGGTGTAGCACTCCCTATCCCTAAACTAGGCTTAATACTTCCTGAAAAATCTGATGTCTTTAAGAATCTGAAGTAGCAAATGTGAAAACATAAGCTACCTAAATGACTGATTTTGGCCAAGTTTGAGTCACAAATGCTTTTGGATTAGCAGTTTTCATTTCCTAAATAATTGTGGAGTAAACCAATGAACATATAATTTGAAGGTAAAATTTAAAATAAAATTCCTTTCATAAATACTTGCAAGCAAAACCATACTTTCTAATATTATACAAATGTTCCATGAGGTTCAGTGTTTTCCTACCTTTGTAAGGCTGGTTGCAAGTTACAGCAAAAAAATAGATGAACATTGTTATTTCTAATAATTTAAAACTTGTCAAAGAATTTGCTTTTAAAGTATTGGCCTTTACATTCAAAAGTAGCAAACCATTCTTCCATAGTGCATTTATGTGTATAATCCTACTGTCATCAAACATTACATAAAATGAATCGGTATGTCTTGGAGTAGTATGAGCCAGAGCAAATAGAAATTAAAGCAATACTGCTATCCATACTTAAGTTAGCAAAGTCATTTCTGTTGATTTTCTTGATTCTGTTGTAGCGTGAGTAAAAATACATGGTTTTCTTCGGCAATGGTGGAACAACATCAAGCTCATGATCGTCGCAGTAGACTGTGGTCCCTAGGCATGTACACAAGAGGCAAGTGGGAAGACCTATCAAAGAATTTTAAAGAAAACAGTTTGTTACAAAAAAAATTATAACATTTGTATGTAAATTACTATGAGGATGGATGGCAAGGAGGTTGGAAGTAGATGATCTTTAAGGTGCCTTTCAGCCAAAACCATTCTATGATTCTCCAGTGAAATGCTCATGTAAGCACATAATGGTAAGATTTTGATGATAAAGTTCACTCCCTTTCTGTTTTGATCACCACATTGCAACAGAAGGTTATCAAATTCTGCTTAAAACTGATAATTAGAAGGTAATTTAGGACTTGTTCTGATACAATGTTTCTCAGACTATAAGAACTGAACAATTGGTGACAGCAGGCAACCAAAGATCAGTCTCCCCCTAAGTTAGGAAGTGTGAACTTCCACCCTGATGGAGAAATATTAGCTGATGACAGAAATTTGTTATAATTTCCCAAGTCTGGTTCTGTAAATAGTACTTCCGTATAATTTGTAGTGAAATTCATATTTTCCCACAGAGCTATGGAGAAGAACTTCAATTTCCTTTGCATATTGTTAAATTGCATTTTCTGAATATTTTTTTTTTGTGGGTATAATAAACTGTATCCCATAGAAATATTTTGTATTTCACGTTTTCCTTCTCCTTGTAGTATAGGCTCATTGTTTGTTCTGGTTGCTTTATAGAATAGTGGCATAGTTAATGAATATGGAAATGTTTTTGTTGCAGATGAGGGGTTTTTTTCTCTAGATAAATTGTGGCTACATGAAAACTTTACCACCTTAATCTGTGTCAATTACCAAGAGGCAGCAATAACTAAGTGAATGGTAAGTTATATATGTGATGTCTTTTCAGACAAGATTAAAAAATCGGTGAACCAGAGTAGTCTTTTATTTGAGAATCACTACCTGGGCATCCAGGAATAACTTTCCTGGATGGATAAGACTCTTTTTTTTACTTTCCCTAACTTCCTTCACAGAGCAGTTAAAATTAGCTATGGGAGCAAGCCTGATACAGGTCAAAAAAAAGTTTTCACACCTTAAGCAATCCCAGCAAATCTAGGTTTAAAAGAATTAGAGTTTGGGATGGCTGACATTTTTTCAAAATATTGCAACATGGTACAGGAAGAGAGTTTTCCTTTCTGTCCAATTTTTTACCTTGGAGGAGTGGTATTTGCCATTTATGGCTGGTGTTGAATAAAAAAGGACAGAGGTATGGGAAGGTAGCAAGACAAATGACCTTGGCTTAATGTTCCTGAGCTTTATAGTCTTCTATCCAGTACCAAGCCAACAACAGCAGCAACATCTGATGGAAAAATATTTGCTTAAAAAAAAATAATGACACAGAAGAAAGTCTGATTTGGTATGTTACAGCCTTGAGCCTCCCATGCGTATATTTAGTTGATGTGCAAATAGGTTTGCATTTGGTGCTCAAAATTATTGACAGATACAGAATTCCTAACATATAATATTTACATAAAATATTTTGGAACATCCTGCATCTTTCAAAATTGAAGAATATTGTGTGTTTTTTTCCAGAACTCTCCTGGGAAATTCCCATTTCTGTTTTTATTTGTTTGGACATCAGTGAGGGTTTGGTTTGGTTTGGTTTGGTTTGGTTTTTCTCCTGCTCAAAGCTCATTCGTAATACGTACAAAAAAAAAGATTAGGAATGATTATCTTCTCTTTACTGAGAACAGAATTGGAAGTATGAACTCTTTGTTTTTAATTTTATTTGTCTTCTGTGTCACTCAGTTACAGTGTTAAGCACAGTAAAAAGTAGGATTTTTCCTGATTATGTTGATCACCATATGACACAAAGACCCATCACAGTAGTGGAGTTTCAACTACAAGAGTTTAGAGTAACTGCTAACAAATGCCAGTTATTAGCATCATGATGTTTGTGTGGCAGAGGGACAGATTGTGTTTTAATTCCTCTGTGAGATGCAGAAAGTTTTTATTTCACTATAGCTAATCAGCAAAACAGAAAATTACCTTCACACAAAATTTCTAAATAGCTCCCTTAAGTTGCAGTTTCTAGTTTTTCTGGTTAAAACATATTCAACATTTCAATAATATTTTGTATGAAGACAGTTATGAAAAAAACTATCAAATCATTGTAAAATAAAGATAGCTGTAATGATATTGAAATCTAAATTAAAAAAAATACTGATAGCATTTGTCAATCATTAACAAACTTTTAAGTGTTTAAGTGTACATAAAATTTTATTTGAAAAATACTTATTGGTGCAGTTACAGTGAAATAGTATGGAAACACTTTGCCCAGGCACCTATCTGACCTCAGAGCATTCAAGATAGTCATGTTCCACCTCTCTTCAGTAAGAGAGGAACAGAAATTATCTATCTCCTCTTCAGTAAGAGAACTAGACATTCATAAGCATGCAAAGTGGAGTCACTCCAAAGCAAAGCTGCACACACAAATCTCATTTCTCTTTCCTACTAACCATCTTGAGTTTGGGGTCCAAGAACCCCAGACCCCTGTGCTGAAGATCCGTCAAGTAATTTTGGTGTTGATGCTTCCTCCTCAGGTTCTTCTGTCAATGGTGCAGAAGAATAACTCTCCTGAATTATAGAAGGTAGTGCTGTCCCAAACTCTGTCTAGGGAAAATTAAGAGGGAACAGGAAATGTTACTATTAACTTCCACTGGCAGCTCTTTTACTTCCAGTAATTGATGTTCTCCCACTAGAGGTCATGTATGTTCTGAGGTTTAGAGCTTAAGCTGCAATTTGTCAGGCAGCTATAGTGAATTCTGATGACGTGTAAACAATCATGAAACTCCAACATAGTTACTCACTTCTTATCTCAGTGGTTAAATGTTTTGACATATGCACACATGCATATTTAGTTCAGTGGTTTAGTGGTGGACTTGGCAGTGCTAGGTTAACAGTTGGACTTGGTGATCTTTTCCAACCTAAAGGATTCTGTGATTCTATATACTTCATTAGTGAGAACATGTGCAAACAAAATAAATGTGGAAAAAGTATTTAAAGTTAAATTAAATTTGTGATAAAAATTAATATATTCTGCGTGAAAAATGGAAGTTTGCGGTGAAGGATCAAAAAGATGCAAATCATTTGACCATATAATTGTAAATTTTACCAGCATCAGTCTAAGTCCAGTGTAGCTCTCCAGGCTATGTTTTATGAACACTAACATGCTTTAAAAATCTTATTATCTAAGAATTCTGAAGTCTAAGTTCACATATTATTTGCTAATATGTTGGCAGTGTTTCTGTATTTTTTTTTTTCTGAATTTACATACCAGAAGGCTCTGGTTAGCTTCATTCACCAGTGGCTGAAAAATGTATTATGAAGAATTAAGAATATAAATAAAAAATGCTTGATAAAATCTTAGTTTAGAAAAATCATATTTGGCAGATTTGTTTATGGAAGCAGAAACTTTGTCTTTTTTTATTGTCTACTCAACATAATTAGTTGAACCGGTACATTTTATTGTGTTAAGTTTAATTCTAAACATGCATTCTGTCGATTTTGTTATATGACAACCTAAGAATAAAAATGCAGCTGAAGGAATTTTCTTTCATTATATCACCCCTCATAAAAAGACTATTGCAGACTTGCCAGGGTTTTTTCAGAGAGGTCTACATTTGCAAAGAGACAGAGTGGTTCACTGTAGTCACCCAGACACTGAGAACCCACTGTAGCCCTGTGGCCTTTGCAAGTTACTTTATCAGTGTATCCTGATTTCCCCATGGTTAATAATATTGTTTGACCACACCAGGGCCTCCTTTGAAAATGTGCTTTCTGCTTTTTAAATCCAAGACAATGAATTAGTGTCCTTATAAGGCTTTGTGAATCTGAGGTTGTGTTTAAAATTTAGGTAATACATCCACCCCTGTGCTGTAGTTAACATTCCTTAGTCTATGTCTAAGGCATGACCCAGTATAGGAATTTTGTCGCAGCATCTTTATCCCATGTGCAAAGATGCTGAAGCCTAAAATTTCCCCCACTGCAGTCTTCTAGCACAACACCTGACCGAGCATCTCCTTTTTAAGAGCCAGTTACGGCTGAGTTTTCTGTCTCTGTGGAGAAGCAGTTTTTGAAATCACTAGTGCTTATAAATTCTGGTTGTAAAAGACAAATAAAAGTAGATTGCACCCAGACTGGATAGGTGGTTAGGATTTTTTTTAAATGAGGCTTTCTATGTAGACTGTACAAGTTAAAGGAACTGATGCACGTGAGATCTGGGTCCCAAATATGAACAAAGCTTTTGCTATATTGTGATGCCTACTTGAATCTCCTAGCTCATATATATAGGTACGTAATATTCAACAAGTGGAGATGGTTTTTGTCTTGCTATTCCTGGACAAGATAGATGTTAAATATAGCAATGAGAAATACTTATACACATTCATATGTGTATTTATCACAATTTTGGAAGAAAACACTTTACACTTCCTAATAGACTCTTTGGATTTGGGAGTTAGCTACATATGTTTTCTAGATGTATTAAAGATGTTCCTGTGCTGCCTGAGAGCATTTAAATAACCATCTAAAATCTATTTTTTGCAAAGATATAATTTGGTATAAGTGATATAGTGGCCATAGGTTCCAATATCTTGCATCAATTAGTTTCACTGAAGATGGAGAATATGGAAGCAATGAAAACCCAGGAAGCACTCTGAATGTCACAGATGCAGATCTTGACTGAGCACACTTTAGATTCTCTGTATATTCTTTAGTTGTATTTTAATAAGCCATATATACTATTACTAATTCGGATTTATGGATAAAAAATCCCTGATACAGTTACTAGAATCACAATTTTGCAAAATTCAGGTTGGTCAAGTGAACAAAATGGACTTCAGCTGAACTATGACTGAGTAACCTGTTGGTGTAAGTAAGCCTAAGGATGTACCTTGCTGCTTTGTGCAGACAAATACACAGTGTTCCCATCTGCAGCACTGACAGCAAGACAGCTTAACCAGGAATAGACTTGGGGACAAATCAAAAGAAGACTTTGGGAACAAAGGAAATGGGACAGATGTTCACCGAATGGAGGAAGCCTAGAGGGAGAGGTGCATTCCAGACATTTATTGACCTAGGGTAGCACTGCACTAAAGTGCTTACATATGTTGTTGACTTCTTCACCAGTTTTGTGGAAATTGGGTAAGAGTCCCTGTTCTGAACTTTGGAACAAAATTCAGATATTTTGAGACCTATTAGCAGCTTTGTATGCGTCTTTTGTGGCAGTTCTACTGAAAATAATATTCTGGAAGAGAGCATTTTCAAGATACAGTTTGTAGTTAAGCTTTAGATGTAAGAAAATGTTCCTTTCAGTTGTCATGGGATTTCGGTTGTCTACACTGCCTGCCACTTCTCTGAATATTTGAGGACACACATTATGAAAATTACTAGTTTGGGATTTCTGATTTGCTTTATGCTTTTTCAGATGTTCCTAGCTGATTAATCACTGTAGCTCTCTGGAACCAAAGCAGAATTATTCACTTCTAGTACTTCTGTTTCTACACTGTTATCTCTCCCTTATTACAAGATGTTTTCTAGGTTGGTTGATGCACAGTTGAAAGCTTTCCCATAGTTTCCTTGCTAGTGTGCTAGATCTGGGTTTTAGAGAAACTGTTCCAAGCAGTTTGATTTATCTATTCAGTCTCTTGCACTACTTGTGCAAATATTACAGTGAATTTAATGATATTGCCATTTTTACATTGGTAATGGAGTAGGAGATCAGTGATACATCTGTATTACATACCAGACTCAGAGCATGAACAATGTTTTCTTGCTGTACATACGCTGGACTCAAACCAGTAACCTAAAGGTAAAAATCTGTTTCCCATTATTAGTCATCTGATCAATGCAGCTTTCTATTTTTTACATATGTGATAAATCATGCAAGATGGTAACAAGAGAAAGATGTTTCTTGGAGTATATATTGTACAGAATGATCCTTCATATTCCAGATGTTTATTTTTGGCAAGATGCACTTTACTAAAAAAAGCGAAAGAGAAATGTTTCTATATTGCTTTGTGGTATTATTCTCCATAGGGCTTTTGCAGGGTTTGGGGGTATTTGTATTTCCTTTGCCACTCTAAGTAATCTTATTTATGAAAAATCACAAAGGAGGAAGAATAAACTAGAGAAATACAATAACGCATGTTTCTCTTTGCCAGTAGTTGCAAGTCTTCAAATTGTAACCAGATTTAATACATGGCGTTAAAAAAACACTAAATGGGAATCACATCACCAAGGATTAACCACCTATGTGGTTAGTAGTTACCCTACTCTATCTTTGAACTCAGTCAAGAGATTTAGAGAATACCAGAGCAGTGTATTAGCCACAGAGCATGCTGACAGAGATTACATGGAGTAGCTGTTTTCCTCCCCTCCTATATTTATCCATGTGACTACATTTACAGATGAAACTGCTTAATGTGGATGGCCACTTTAGAAGTACTTTCAGACCTGGAAGTTACAAATATCAAAAGCACAGAAATCTGAACATATCAATGAGGAATAAAATACAACTGTTCAAAGTCAGCCCGTAACTTCAGTCACCCATAGGCTAGACATTTAGTCTATGCTGGCATTCTTTCACAGTCAGCAGAAAATGAGACAAAACTTGTGAAAAGCATCTCCAGCTACTGACCACAGATGTTTCTTTTAGGATGGGCTTTTCAGATATTTATTGTTCACCATTGGCTGAAAAGGAGGTGAGATGAATAGGTTTTTAAGATTAGAAATGTCTCAGGAGACTGAACTGTGAAGGATAAAAAAAAAAAAAAAAGATTGAACAGTGGTCTAGGAGTCAGTATGGGTGGAAGAGAATAAAATGTTGATAAGAGGACTCAATCTGTGCAAAGTAATAAAATGCAGAAAATGAATGGATCTTAAGATGTAAACAGCAAGGCTGGAAGCTATCAGTTGCCACATTTTTCTTCTGAGTTGGTATAAGTCCAGTAGTAGATATTTTGTCTATTGTTTTATGTCTACATCTTTTAGGATCAAAGTTGATATGTTGTAAGTTTAATTCCACAGAAGAATCTGAAGTGTGTTCTGTTTCAGTGCTTCTGCAAAAACCAGGCTTAAAAACATGAAGAAAATTCAGAACTTAAGAAGAGACATTATAAACTTGAAGGGACAGTTGTACCACACACTGACCCATCAAAAGGAACTAGTTTCTCCCACAGCTGTTCTGAAACTACCAAATGCTTACAAGAAAATATCTAATTATGGTGGAGGTTTTGCGTTTGTTTTCCTTTCCAAAAGTGACTCATACTTGTTTCTTCTTGATTTATGCATTTAAGGTCTTATTTTCTCCTACTGTAAATAGATCTGTGAGCCACTGCACATTAATGTATAAAATACTTACACAGTTCAGATAAATTGTCTTTTCTTGTACAGAGTTACATAAATTGAGTGGAGAAATTAGTGTAATAAAACTCAGTGAGAACTTGGGAAAAGGGGAAGGTAATATTTGGTTACAAAATTTCTAAGTAAATTGCTTTTATCTACTCACACTCATTCTCTCAGATTTAATTCACTTTCACTTTTACACCCACATACTTCCACATACCTAAATTTGCATGCCGGAGGGGTCTGACTGCGATCACCTCTGTTCA